TCAAGTTGTAAGATGTTGAAAACCGTGTCATATTACAATTGGTTTTTTTTTCAACGCGAGAACTGCCAATAGTCTTTTTTGCCATTGGTGAACTTGGCTATTTTCTTTATTGTTACCCCTACTTAAAACCCATGGCTATATTCAGTGTGACCGTTGTGGGTTATTACCAGTGCAACAATTATGAATCACAACCTTAGTGACGGCACACCCCCACCGCATGATGTAACAACCTGATTCGCGTTATTAAATTCTATCGCTCGAACTACATCGCCAGAGGGGCTCACTCGATCTTGTTCGTATATCATTCGTGGTGACCTTTGATGATTGAGATGTTCACTTTTGTCAGTAGCCTAACAACCGCAAACAATGATTTCTGGACTGTAGCTCTTTCTGAAAATAATTTGAGAGCTCAGTGGATGTGTAAGACCAGCGCAGATACTGTCGAAAAAATGAGATACAAGTTCAAAACTTAATTAATTTTCGAACACAAGAGAATTTCGGGCACGCAGGTTTCACTTTCTGTCAACGATCAGTTGATACCTCTGCGAAACAGGATGCATCTAATCACATAGATGTCAAAAGTGAAAAGAGTATGTTGGCAACAAAAAGAAGACAACTATTTATGCCTAAAACGAGCTATCACACCTGGGAGCTTGTGAACCACACTTAAGATATGAATTCCTATTTATGGATGGATGACGTATGGTTGCAGGATTGGCCCGCGAGTGTTACAATAGGAAGCACCTTTCGCGTCCGGTTTTCCCGAGTTAGCAAACCTATTTGGAGCGAGTGGATTCAAAACCAGGATGACCTTAAAAATTAATTTTCCTGTATTTCCGACAGAGTTGAAAAGTGGACAGGACTGTGTGACAGTTTGTTTTCAGGGCGTTATTTCAAAAAGCAATTGTTTGTTTGTTTGTTTTCAGCGCGGAACAGCAGAAGCACCCAGCATAGAAACGCTATCGCGTGGGCAACTATGCAGAACAAAACTCCACGCTTTCCATGCTATGCAGATAAAAACAAATACTGATTCCATCTAGTGATGGTTTGTTGCAAGTGTATTAAAATCCGTGCGCACCTTGACGATGCATCATAGAAACATCAGTAGAAATACTACAGCCTTAAGCACACCGATTTGGTAAGGATAAGTTTCAGGTATGCGGATGATTTGTGAAAACGACAGAAACAAAAAAGCCTCATCATACTTTCTGTGTTTTATCCCTAATTGCTTCTCAGTCAACAAGGTATTTTTGGAAATCAGGAAACATAACTTCGTGTGCATTTATTTGGTGATTACATTCAGTTATGGTCACTTATTTTTCATTAAAGCAATTATTTCTCGAAATAAGCTTGAACAAAGAACACAATACTGCAAGCGAGCACCGTGCTCACTGTGCACTCGGTTGCAGTATTGTGTTCTGTGTTCAGGCTTATTTTTCAAGTTGGGGGCAACATGCTTTGGTTCTTTGCTCAACAGCTAGTCTCCTTAAACTGAGCAAATTTTCATCAAGTGTACGAGAAATACATTTTTGTCGCTGAAATGTGACGCTGGAAGATTCGTATCATCCGCGAAAGCTATAATCCTAAATTCCCTTCTTCCCGATCCGGCCTAGTTAAATTAATAAATAAACTTAGGTGCACGGAACAAGTAAAGGTATAATGTCTTGATGTGTAATGGTTTATCGTGATGTCCTTTGCAGACTGTTTCTGTCTGGGTCTACTAATGTTTTCATCACTCCAAATATCACGATGAAAAATGCCGTTCATCTTGATAAACCTGTTTCTTTTTTCATTTTACGGTTGTTCTGACTGCAAGGCTGCACGAGTCTTTACAACTAACTTTTTTCGGTGCCATTTTATTCACCGAGTTTAATTAACAATGAGTTTGATTGTTCCAGTGATACCAAGTCATTGTACTAAGAGTAGTAGATTTACCTGTTGTATTTCATGTCTTGTATCGCTAGGTAGCTGTATGTGTAGTTTATATATATATATATAACGTATGCTGAGCAAGTGGATACAGTTGACGAGTACCTTTGTTCCACTTTCTCCACCATACTGTTGTTAGGTTTACCACTGTAACACACATGATCCCATACCTTCCCACTGTTCTATTTTATTACAGCTCTGTTCTCCTAATTCGGTTCGTTTCGCACAATATATAAGTCGACGTTGATCATCTAGCTTCATTCATGAGTGGTAACGTACCTCCTCCCTCCGGCGGATTTCCATCTGCACCTGGTGGTTATCCACCACCTGCTGCACCCGGTGCCGCATACCCTCCCGGTCCCGGTGCCTACGGACCATCGGCACCTGGCTATGGACCTCCTGCTGGAGGTTTCGCCCCTTCAGTTGGTTACTTCCCTCCTGTTGGTTACGCCCCTTCAGCAGGGTATGGACCCCAGCAAGGTCCACCAGGTAAATTGTTGCTTATCATTAGGAACAAATGAAATTCAATGATTGAATGAATCCAGTATTTGAGCTCATTGGCTCGCAAACCGTTGATGCCATGTTTTGCGTTCCTGCCAGGAAGCGAACCACAAAGGATTCTCAAACAAGACAAAACAGTTGTCCAGTGCTTGTTCTCTGTTATTTCAAATAATTCCATTGCATATAAATGCATTTACCCAATTGTGAACTAACGATCTCCTAAAGAGTGAAACCCACTCGGGACCATCGATGGTGCCTGTTGCGTGTGAACAATCGAACGAAGTAATCCAAATACGACACTCCAATGCGGTCTAGTGTCTCGAAATGGTTGTTCACGAGAAGGTCAGCAAGGAAACAAACAATGAGTACACCGCAAAGCCCGTATGGGAAACTAATACAACTCGTGGGGTAAAATGCGTGGATTTACAAAATTATGTACCAAATAGAAGAGAACCCAAGCATTTGGAGCTCGATTTACAAACATTAGCAATAAATTTGTCGATGTGACGGGAGCATGGTAGATTGTGAGGATGGTTAGTACAGAGGTATTTTATAGTTGTGGTTTTGGGGATAGGATAACCCAAAACGGTAGAAGATGGCAGATTATTGTGGAATTTGAGATAACGCGAGAATAGAATGAACAACACACTCTCAAGTTATAAAAAGAATAAAACAAATAGCTTCATGAAATGCGGCAAAGGTGTTTGAAAGAGAAGAAAAGTGCCTAGGGCCACAGGAAGTAAAATGGATCTACCCTGAGAAACAATCACACAAATGCATCAGACTGTACGTCGTTCTCATGAAGATGATGGAGATCCCAACGTTTCATAAATTAAGTTACTTGTGTGTTATCTGTGGTGGTCATTGTGGGTATTAATCTGCATTGATTGGTGATCAGATATCACTGTCTCACTATCATCTATCTACCGTAAACAACGGGTGAAAAGTCACCAAGTTAATTTGACGGTTTTGCACTGTTTTTAAATGCAGAAGCTTGTCTTAGGTTGCTCCATCACAAGCACTCTTAGGCCTCACTTGCTCAGACCAGAGCTGGTTCACGAGTGTTGCTGTAGGCACCCAGTCCGTCATTTTCATTGAAGAATGTACAGGTTTGCAACGCTTGGTATCGTTTTCACCGGATGTGTTTCGGGTGGATCCGTGAAGGAGGGGGGGGGTGAAGTTAATAATTATTTAATTGTTTGAACAGTCTGCCAAGCAAGTTGTAAATACAACACAGAGTGGCGAGCATGTTTGACTCTTAGTCATGTCAGTGCATCGTAATATATCCCCAATTCAAAGGGAAAGTTTTCTGCGATGAAAACTCGTTGCACATCTCATACCTGATCTGAAATGTACCTCAAATACTCTGTGACGTGAAATGTCTCTTCCCGAAGAACATTGGTCCGTTTGGAACTGCGACATACAACATGACGGATTGCGTGCTTACAAATACCTCAGATTTAGTTTGTGCGCCAGTTTTTTTTAACTATTCAATCCCCGATGAATTTTGAAAAGACTATTTCGAGCATAAGCAGTTCCAAGCTTCTACAAGACAGATTATTACCGCAGCAGCCTTAAAAAGCGCTTTTTAAGGATAGGGCGTCAGTTACGAAGTCAGCTGACCTGCTCTAGCATTCATATCTCCTGCTAAGATCACGATGTCATCCCGGGTCACTTTACGCAAGAGGTCGTGTAGTTTATGATAAAATTCATCTTTGACCGCATCTGGTCTGCAGTCCCTTAGGGCGTTCGGGCTTTAGGGTCCCCCAGGTTGATGGTTCGACTTGAGTCGGCGTCTCAGTCGATAAAACGTGTTGGAGGAATAATTGATCCAAGCTAATGGGCCTCCAATCCGCCTTAACCGCTNNNGTGCATCGTAATATATCCCCAATTCAAAGGGAAAGTTTTCTGCGATGAAAACTCGTTGCACATCTCATACCTGATCGGAAATGTACCTCAAATACTCTGTGACGTGAAATGTCTCTTCCCGAAGAAAATTGGTCTGTTTGGAACTGCGACATACAACATGACGGATTGCGTGCTTACAAATACCTCAGATTTAGTTTGTGCGCCAGTTTGTTTTAACTATTCAATCCCCGATGAATTTTGAAAAGACTATTTTGAGCATAAGCAATTCCAAGCTTCTACAAGACATATTATTACCGCAGCAGCCTTAAAAAGTGCTTTTTAAGGATAGGGCGTTATTTACGTGAATGCATTCAGTCACCTTAATTACCCATTGCACACGGTTTTGATCTATGGAGGCACAGTGAATAGATGGGTTCCATACTGGAAACATTCACATTGTTCAATGCTGAACGAAACATAAACATGCTTTTGATATTTTCATTGAATTAGTTCAATTTATGAGATCAAAATAGATACTATTGCTGTGCCAAGTATCTATTCGGTGCTTGTAAAGCAAGCGCGGAAAGGTGTAGGACACCTGTTTATCATCGTAGTTAAAAATGTCGATCAAGAAAGATATGTAGGAAACAAACGTAGCAAACATTGAACGTAACTCAAATTCGTCAGAAATCTTTACGTTGACTAACAAGGAGCACTGGACCACTGTTTCGTCTTTTAATGGACTCTTCATCAGCGCGTTCGTTTTGTTTCAGTTTCAGAACTCGAATAGCGGGCCTTAGAGTTAAATGTCAACACCCTCTCCCCTAAGCTATACGGACGACGCTCAGCATCTTGTGCAAATTGCTGAATCATTTTAAACGGCTAGTGTTTGGATAAGCCCTTTCACGTTTTCAAAATGAGTATTAGCACCTTTGCATAAACTGGAACAGTTTCTTATTATATGGTTTAAAGTTTTTCAACATCAAGTTTTCGTCATTACAGAGGTCGGATAAAGAGTATATAAGTACATATTCAGCGTTTGTATGCTCAGTTCAGTTTTTGTTCTTCGTTTAAACGGAATCAGGAAAAGATCAGAAGTTTTGGTGTTACTTGTAATATGGAGATTCATGTGAAAGTAGATATTAGCACCCAAGTTGTCTGGCTATCGCTATGACCAAAGGGTCTCCTACTAGTCCGAACTTAATCTCAAATCGTAATCATCCAATTCGAACGTCTTGCACGATTGGATTGAGATGACTGAGCTAGGAGTATTCATATGATAAGGATATCGATCAGTGTATGCGGGGTTATTTTGCATTTGTTTGTTTTGGAGTAATGGCTGTATGCTAGTTAAGCAAATCGGCCTTTATACAGCCAACTGTGTACTAATAATGTCACTCGAGAGCTAGCAGATTGACAGAAATGTGACAAAGATATGATGCAGCACCTGTGAATCTCTTCGTGTATTTCGCTCGTTAAATATGAACAACCGAAAACAAACTCTTCACTTGCACCTTAAGGTGTTCATTTGTGCAGCATGGAGAAAGAACAAGGATGGTATTCCCATTCATGATAGAACAGTTTTAACGACCTGAACTAGTACATAAACAACAAGATTTAATCGGCAGGGGGGTAGCAGTAAGTCGTTTTGGATGCGAGATAACAAAGATGTAGGATCCGAAAGCATTTAACGAGGATAAAACCCGTGCCGCAATACACATCAGATAAGAATTCAACAATGATATACAGCATTGAGGAACTAGGGAGGATACTGACGCAAACGGTACGCAGTTGTGATAGACAATCACACAAGCAACTAGTGAAAGCGATCCTCATTGGATTGACCACATTTACACAAGAGGATAATTGCATACAAGTTATCTTGAAGAATTGGATCGATTCGGGATCCTCCACACGATGGGAGGAACAAAACTGCACCATGCTCGCATAGTGTGGCACCAATCATTGCGCAGTAGTTGTGGTAGAAGTTCAGAATGAGTAGTCATGTTTGCATTAGGTTTGATATCAAGTTAGTTTAGAGAGGGAATATTGATTTTTGTCTAAAGACAGCGACGGTGGTGGGGTTCAAACTCAGAACCTCCAGGTGGCCATTTTGATGAACTTACCAGTTAAGCACTGCTTCGATTAGCATTCATTTTGCTGTTTTCTTGCACGGAATGAGAGAATGCAAAACATTCTAATTATTAGACACCAAATTTCAACATCAAGTTCCAAAGATCCGTCGTTACGGCATCGGAAGACCTAGTGTTTTGAACTGTTGGATCCGTTATAGGGTTTATGAAAGTCTCAGATCAAATTCCATCATTGTTTGCGTAAAGGCAACAACAATGCTGGGGTCCCCAGACTAGACCACAGCAGGATTGAATCAATCACAATCGATGAATACTCGGAACAAAAAGGTTAGCGGTACTTTTGAGTCTCGACAGCAACATGGGCATCCAAATGAATGTGATCAACTTTTCCTCGGTATCTCATCAATTGTTACGCTCGCTGTGCAGGAGTGTGGGTGTTCGTTTATCCCCGTGAGTGCGTGCATAGGCGAGGAAAAGATGAACGGACACCAGCACCATATAGTGCATGTAAAGTTGTTAGATACAACACAACCACCACTGCATATAACCAAAAATAGTACCAAAAACGATGCGTTGCCGAAACTCAAGTACACGTGCAACGTCAATACTGTTCATTGTTGTTGCTAACACGTGAAAATTTGTGATTTTTGTCAAGTGCTTGCCATTTCATTTCCTTGAATGTTTTATTAACATTCCGTCTAAGTTTGTTTGATCGCCAACTGATTATCGGCATACTTCTCTTCGAGGCTTAATTAGTTGATTTCAGCAAGCGTGTTGTCCATTAGACAATACGCTCAACTGATTGATGTAAAACACATCGTTAAGGGGTACATGAGATCATTCTAAGCTTCAGCTTTATTATATAGTTTGCTAACCTAATGTAACGTGACCTATGTCCACTGGATTTTCCGCTTCATTCTGATGAAGAATTTCAATCAATATATTTACATCAATCATGTCCAAATTAATTGTTTAGTACAGTTACTCAGTTCACTGTCGAATCTGATTAGGTTTGTGTTCAGGTCGCGTGCAACTTCCTTTTTGACTTCCCACAGCAACATGACAGTTTATCGCAGGCA